AAGGATCATTCCCACACCTTCAGTACACAGGGTTGACAGGGATGGGCAACTTAGACATTGGCTAAACCCATGTCCACCCCAAAGTGGTGGTGGTGGGGGTTATAAAAGGCAAGAAGTGACTGGCTTACAAGCTTTCAAGAGGGAGCCTAGTTCCAGACAGGGAAGGGGTAGGTAGAACCTCCATTGAATGATTTCCAATCTATTGGAACCGAGATGGCGAAATGAAATGGGGGCAAGACTCTTGTGGTACAATAGTGAATAATTGCCATCAGGACTGACTGTGAGGGTCTGAATTGTAGAGGTAGATGTTTTTTAACAAAAGGAGGGGAGTGATTGATTTTGCATCTCAGGAGCAGAGGTCCCTGGGACCATCAAGTGAGAAGAGCGGAGAGCGTGACCCTACCCAGAGAGGCAGTCACACTAGGGATGGAGACAGAGAGGATGATGTGGACAGATGGAGAGGCTGGGGACACTGGACCCAGGGAGGGAGAGGGGCTGTGTGCTGACAGCGGGGGGAGTGGGTCTGTGGGGTGTACCCTTTGGTTATTTGATGATGCATGGAGGGGATTGTAATCATTGCAATGAAATGAAATACGATAGAGTGAATGTAAAACTGATTTTCTCCCATGTAAACCCACATAATTCACAATAAAATTTAAAAAATAATCACCTATATGAGAGAGAAAAAAAGCTATTTTCCAATATTTACCAAGATTCTTACATTTTTTTACACCTTTGACTCTGATTTAATTGTCAGAAATCTATACTGAGAACATTGTATCCTAAATTAAAATTAGAACACTTGGTGCTTAAGGCAATCCTAGTGTTACTCAAAGCAACTTACAACGTAGATGAAAAAATGTAGACGAAAATATCAGGAGAAAATGAAATCCTGAAATATGGCAAAAAAATTACATATTACCTGTAATATGGTGTAATTTTTAGTGGAGCATTATAAGTATAGCATGATTACAAACATAGACAGGAGTCCTGGTGTGGTGCTGTCAGATAAGCATTGGACTGCTAACTACAATGTCGCCAGTTCAAACCAATCAGCAGCTCCTTGGAAACCTTATACAGGGTGGCTATGAGTCAGAAATGATAGCAGTTAGTAACAACATACACTGTCTACTAAAATGCCAATGGTGATTGTTAAGTGCCTTTGAGGTGGTTCTGACTCATAGCCACCCTGTATAGGATTAAGGAGCAGAAAACTTTATCTTTCTTCAGCAGAGCAGCTGGTGGGCTCAAACTGACAACCTGTGTTCACAGTCAAGTGCTTATCCTACAGAGCCACCATGTTCCCCAATGGTGATTGTTGCTGTTCAGTGCTGTTGAGTTGGTTCCAACTCATAGTGACCTTGTACAAGGTTTCTGAGGAACATCTGGTGAATTTGAACTTCCGACCTTGTGGTTTGCAGTCCAGTGCTGATCCTACAGTATCATACCTGAAGTCCAATGGTAATTGGTGGTGGTGGTGGTGGTTGTGGTGGTTATGTGCTGTGGAATCGGTTATGTCTCATAGTGACCCTGTATAGGGTTTCTGATACTGAAAATCTTTATGGGAGCAGAAAGCCTGATCTTTCTCTCATTGAACTGCTAGTAGTTTCAAACTGCTGGCCTTGAGGTTAGCAGTCCAATTTGTAACAAGTATGCCACCAGAACTCTATCCAATGGTGATTAGCAATTGTTAATAATTGGAGAAATAGAAATTTGTCCAAGTGTTGGCTTTTGCAGATAGATTGTTAAGCACAGTCAAGTGCATTCTGATTCATAGTGACTTTGTATAGGGTTTCTGAGGAGCAGCTGGTGAATTTGAACCCCCAACTTTGCAGTCCAGTGCTTTATCCAACAGCGCCACAGCAGGACTAGAGGGGGAATATAAAACAAAATCAACTAAAGTACTGGTGTGATGCTGTTGGATAAACACTGAACTGCAAGGTTGGTTTGAAACACAAGGTAGGTGGTTCAAGCTCACCAGCCACTCCTCAGAAACCCTGTACAGTGTCCATGTGAGTTGGAACCAACTCAATGGCACTTAACAACAACAAACACTGTTTTAGCAATAAAGTGCAAAAATAAACATAATTTCTATTTATCTGTATTACTGAGAATTAGAATTATTTTTATAAAAAGGAATTTGGTTATGTTAGTGATTTCTCAGGTAGCTAACTAAACTTACAGTATATTTTTGCCTAAATTCAGATTTTATGAGGTGTCATATTTAAAAAAAAAAAAAGTTTCTTTCTTCTTTGATTGACTTGTCAGTGTGAACCTGGAAACTGTTTTTCTTCCATAGTGGAAACACTACATTCAATGTGACGGAAGTCCTGATCCTTCAGTACCCCAGGAAATGAATACTTTCATTAGCTTATGGAAAGAGGAAACAAAAGAGACTTTTGAGGAAGTAATTGAGAAGAGTAAACTAGTGCTAAATGTAAGTGTAAAATATTATCCTATAATTTAAAATTGTCTGATATTGACTCCAAACATAGAAAACAAGGTGAATTTCTGATTTGCCAATTAATAACACTACTACTTCTGGACTGTTGGCTATATGAAGAGATATTTGGTAATCTTTTAGTTACATTTTGTATTTGTTGTTAAGTGCCGTCAAGTCAATTCCGACCCGTAGTGACCCTGTATAGGGTTTCCAAGGAGCAGCTGGTGAGCTTGAACCATCGACCTTGCAGTTCAAATGACTTTGCAGTCTGATGCATTAGCCCACAGCGCCACAAGCAAAGTCAAACATAACATAATACGGAACGTTGGTTATATGCCTGTTTAATTCAAGCAAGAAAAAAAAAAGGTAATATATGTGCATGTAGACAATTTGGGTGGGAGCTCTGGTAGCGTAGTGGTTACGAATCGGGCTACGAACCTTAAGGTCGGCGGTTCGAAACTACCAGCCGCTCCGTGCGAGAAAGATGAGGCTTTCTACTCCCGTAAAGATTCTCGGAAACCCTGTACAGTGTCACTATGGGTCGGAACTGACTCGACGGCACTTAACAACAAGACAATTTGGGAGGGGGAGTGGGGATGGTGGATAATTTTATCTTCAGTTGATTTAGACACTGGGGTAAAAAGATGAATTAGAATATCTGAACTTTTGCAAATAAGGTGGATAGGCTTTTTTTTTTTTTTTTTAAATACATTTAAATGCTGATAAAAATATTTTTCTTTAAGTTGTCATTGTGAATTTATTGAAAGTTTTATAGAGCAAATCGTCAGTTTTACCTTCAACAAATTATATACTTTGCTTCATTACAACGATTGCAATCCACTCCATGTACCAACAGTTAACAGCATTTACCTCTATTCACTTTAACTCCTGCATTTCTCCCTGTGTCTCTCTCTACCTTCATCTTTCCTCTGCTGACCTCCCTCATGTTTTATATTGCCTGCCCATGTTCACTTGTCTATTCTCTAGCCTGTAAATGTTTCCTCCCTTCTTCCCCTGTAATCATCATATATTGTTTCTTTATATCAAGAAAACTAACTTTTTACAATACTCGTCTCCCACAATGTCCTTTTCTGGTTGACTCATTTCACTCAGCATAATATCCTCCAAATTCAACCATGTTGTGAGTGTTTTGAAGATTCATCATTATTCTTCAATGTTAAGTAATATTCCATTGTGTGTATGTAACAAAGTTTGTTTAAGCATTCTTTTGCTGATGGGCATTTCGGTTGTCTCTGTCTTTTTGATGTGTCTCATAACAAGCTTATTGAAGGATCCTGTTTTCTTATCCATTCTGCTCTGTCTGTTGACTGGTGCATTTAATTATTTACATTCAATGTAATTATCAATAGGTATAAATTGGTTGCTGTCATTTTGCTTTGTGTTTTTTTATGGTGCTGCTGATGTCTGTCTCTCACATAATTTTCTGCCCTGAGTTATTTATTTTTTTTTGTCGGTTTTCTTTTCATTTCCATTTCTGTTGTGTCAACATTTACTAAAGCTTTCTGATTTTCACTCTTAGTTACTTGATATGCAGGTGTATTGATTCTCTTTGAGGTTTACCCTGTAATTAATTTTTTTCCTTTTTTTAAAACAGTTTGCTTTATGTTGAAATCTACTTGACTTCCTTGCCATTTGTAACTTCTGTATCGACACTATTCCCTCTTTTTGCTTTGTAGTTGACTTCATTATAAGTTGATATTCAAATGCATTAGTTTTTCTTTGATCTTCCCTATTCATTGTCCAATTTTCACGTGCATATGAGGCTGTTGAAAATATCATGGCTTGGGTCAGGTTCACCTTAGTCCTCAAACTGACATCCTTGCTCTTCAACACTTTAAACAGTATTTTGTAACAGTTTGTCTAATAAAATAGGCTGTTTAATTTCTTGACTGTTGCTGCTGTGAGTGTTGATTTTGAATTCCAGCAAAAAGATTTTCATTTTCTTTATATTGAGGTGCAATCCATACTGAAGGCTGTGTAGTCTTTGAGCTTCATCAGTAAGTATATTAAGTCCTCTTAGCTTTCAGCAAGCAAGTTTACATCATCTGCATATGATAGGTTGTTAGTGAGTCTTCTTATAATCTTGATGCCACACTATTCATATAATCTACCTTATTGGATTATTTGTTTAGCATAGAGATTGAATAGGCATGGTGAAAGGATATAACCCTGGCACACATCTTTCTTGATTTTGAACCATTCAGTATTTTCTTATTCTGTTCTAGCAACTGTCTTTTGGTCCATGTACAGGTTCCTCATGAGCATAATTAAAGTGTTCTGTATACCCATTCTTCACAATGTTATCCATAGCTTGTAATGAGCCACACATTTGAATGCCTTTGCTGTCAATGCACAAGTAAACATCTTTCTGGTATTCACTGCTTTGTCAAGATCCATTAGATGTCATCATTAATATTCCTAATTCCACGCTTATCTGAATTCAGTTTGATTTTCTGGCAATTTCTTGTCAATTTACTGTTGCAACAGTTTTTAAATTATCTTCAGCAAAACTTGCTTGTGATATTAATGATATTGTTCGATGATTTTCATTCCATTGGGTCACCTCTCTTTGGAATGGGCACAGATACAGATCTCTTCCAATCAGTTAGCCAAGTCTGCCAAATGTCTTTGCATAGATGGTGAGCACCCCTATTGCTTCATCAATTTGTTCAAAGACTTCAGCTTGTCAATTCCTGGAGCCTTGTTTTTCTACAATTTTCAGTGTACCATGGACATAAATTCTTGATCATATGCTGTTTCTTGAAATGGTTACACATGGATCATTTCGTTTTCATACAGTGAATCTTCATATAACTTCCATCTTCTTTTGATGCTTTCTGCATCATTCAATATTTTCCCCATAGAATCCTTGAATTTTTCTTCATTTCTTTCAACTTGAAATGCTGAGCATGTTCTTACCTTTTGGTTTTCTGCTTCTAGGTCTTTGCACATTTCATTATAATACTTGACTTTATGTTCTAGAGCTGCCCATTAAAATTTTTTGTTCAGCTTCTTTACGTTCTAATTTCTTCCATTTAATTTAGCTTCTCTATGCTGGAGAGCAAGTTTAGGGTCTCTTCTGCAAACCATTTTTGTGTTTTATTTTGTTTCTGTCTTTTTAATGATGGTTTGCTTTTTCCAAGTATCATTTTCTTGAAGTCATCCCACAACTCTTCTGGGCTTTGGTCATTAGTGTCTTACTCATCAAGTCTGTTCTTGCATCTTAATTCTGATGCAATGTGTTGTTGTTATTGCTATATGCCATTGAGCCATTTCCAACTCATAGTGAATCTGTATAGGAACAGTTGGTGGATTTGAACCCCTGACTTTGCAGTTAGCCGTCTGGTGCTTATCCTACAGCGACACACGAGGAATCCAGGTGGAATTTATTCAAGGTCATATTTAGGCTCTTGTGGACTTGTTTTAATTTTCTTCAGCTTCAGCCTGAACTTACATATGAACAATTGACAGTCTGCTCCACAGTCTGCCCCTTAGGTTTGTTTCTGAACTCCTCTATAATGTTTCCCACAGATGTAGTCAATTTGATTCCTATATATTCCATCTGGTAAAATGTAAATATAGTCACCTTTTATGTTGTTGAAGAAAGGTATTTGCAATGAAGTCATTTGTCTTGGAAAATTCTATTATGCCATATACAGCATCATTCTGTCACCAAGGCCATGTTTTCCAATTACTAATCCTTAATCCTTGTTTCCAACTTTTGCATCCCAATCACCAGCAATTACCAATGAATCATTATAGCATGTTTGATCAATTTCAGACTGAAGAATTTGGTAGGATTCTTCTATTTCATCATCACTGATTGGTAACTGGTGCGTAATTTGAATAATGTATTAACTGACCTTCCTTGTATAGGCGTATGGATATTATCTGATCAAAACATTGTATTTCAAGATGGATATTGAAATGTTCTTTTTCACAATAAATATGATGCTATTCCTCTTCAGTTCTGTTTCTGGTGTAGTAAACCATGTGATAGTGAGATTCAAAGTGGCCAATACCAGTCCATTTCAGCTCACTAATGACTAGACTATCAAGCTTTATGCTTTCCCTTTAATTTTTGATAACTACTTAGATTCTATTCTAGATTCATAACCCCGTACATTCCACATTCCAGTTATTAATGGATGTCTGCAGCTGTTTGCTTGCATTTTGAGCTGTGTCCCATCAGCAAATGAAGATCCCTAAAACTTGGCTTTATTCACATCAAAGCTCTGCTTCTTCTCGTCTTATTTTGAGTGCCTTACAACATGATGGGCTCACCTTCCTGCACTATAATCTGATAATGTTCTGCAGCTATTCATAAGGTTTTCATTGGCTGATCTTTCAGAAGTGGTTCGCCTCTCCTTCTTCCTAGTCGGTCTTAGTCTGGAAGTTCAGCTGAAACCTATCCACCAATGATGAGTCTGCTGGTATTTAAAATACCACTGGTGTAACTTCCAGCAACAAACCAAACAGACATCACAGCATGACAAACTGACAGATTAATGGTGGGTCTTTAGCTAAGTGGAGGAGAAAACAAAAATATCTCCATTAGACTTCTCAGTCACATGGTGGTTTTCCCATAAGAAATTTACATTCTCTGTATGATCCTAAAAGACCTAAAATGTAAAATAATTTGGTGATGCTGTCAAACTCCTGGTAGAAGGGAACACAAAAGTCTCTCTGGATAATACAAAAGTCTCTCCAGATTTCAAAGCATTCTCATGGTTAAAATTCTGAGAAATAGCTCATAGGAAAAAAAAAGGAAAGAAACACTTGAAAATGCAGTCCATCATCAATGAGCCATCAGAAACATTAAAGACAGAATTAGAACAGAAAAAACACTCTATTAGAATTATTGAATTCAGAATATAACTATATTTATATGTTCAAAGGAATAAAAGAGAATATTGATAGCATGACTGAGGAATCAGTGAAAAAATAATTATAGTAAAGAAAAATTTAGTAGCAGAAACTAGTGACTGAGTTAAATATCTGATAAAATGCAGCTGAAGGGACATAGGGTAAATCAGAATTTGAACTGTAAGAATTTACCAGAATACAGCATGGAGATACCAAGAGAAGGAAAATATGAAAAAGCAGTGAATAGACATGTATAATAGAGTAAAAAGGGCTAAAAATATATTGAAAAAGAACACCAGAAAGAGAGAATAGAAAACTTTTGTTGTTGTTAAGTGTGGTCAAGTCGGGTCTGAGCCCTAGCACCCTGTATAGGGTTTCCAAGGAGCGGTTAGTGAGCTTGAACCACTGACTTTGCAGTTCATAGTGATCTTGCAGTTCAGCACATTAACCCACAGTGCCACACCAGAATAGAATTGTCTTAAGTTAGGTTTTCTAGAGAGGCAAAACCAGTGAAAAATATATAGGTATGTTGTTGTTAAGTGTCGTCGAGTTGACTCCAACCCAGTAGAGTTTCCAAGGAGCAGCTGGTGAGCTTGAACCACCAACCTTGCAGTTCAAACAGCTTTGAAGTCTGGCGCATTAACCCACAGCACCACACCAGGACTCCTATACATATATATACACACATACACACACACACACATAAACACACACACACACACACATATATATATATAGTTTAATATCAAGAAGTGGGTTACAATTGTAGAGACCCAGGGCCCCAGTGGAAGAGAGCGAGCCTTTCCCAAGTGTCCATTATATTGAGAGCAGGCCACACCTCCACAAGGAAGCATTACATCTATTGATTAGCTGCACATAACCACTCATCATAGACTTAGCTATGCCTGTATTCAGTTTCATCACCATGGGAATAATCACTTCTCAACTGCCAACCCACTGGTAATATTGACCTCTTCAAGTTGACACAAACCCTATTACAGGTGGTGGTGATTACGTGCCGTGGAGTCGGTTCCAACAAATAGTGACTCTCCCTGTACAAGGTTTCTGAGGCTGTAAATCTTTATGGGAGCAGAAAGCCTTATCTTTCTCCCACGGAACAGCTGGTAGTTTCAAACTAATGATCTTAAGGTTAGCAGCCTGATTCATAACCATTACACTACCAGAGGTCCTTAACTATTACTGGAGGAGAGACAATATTTAAAAAGATAATGGCTAATACTTTTCCAGAATTTATAAGATATACTAATTCTCAGATTCAAGAGCCCAACAAATCCCAAGTAAAATAAGTTAAGAAGAAATTCACATCTAAACACACTTAGATAACAATAGAAATAAATGGAATTTACTTCTCTTTTTATTACTATCTTATTCTGTGGACTGCGAACCACGAGGTTGATAGTTCAAACCTGCTCCTTGGAAACCCTATACAAGGTCACTATGAGTCAGAACCAACTCGGTGACATTTAACAACAACTAAAGCTTTTTGCTTCTTGTCATAATTGGACATCTGGTGTGGCACTGTAGGATCAGCAGTGGACTTTGAACCACAATGCCAGCAGTTCAAACCCACCAGCTATTCCTCGGAACTCCTTTATACAGGGCCTCTATGAGACGGAACCACCTTTGACAGTACAGAACAACTAATGCTTTTTGCTTCTTGTCACCTTTTCTGTAATTAGCTTCCATGTTGCTATAAAATGGGGTGACTCCTGATTCCAAATTTGAGAATTAAAATTTAGAGGGACAATTTAACTTTTCTTAAAGAATGAGAAGATTGTAATTGATTGATTTGATGCTTACTAGTTACTGTAGCATAAGTATTTGACCACAAGGCTGGTTTGAATTTGTAAGATTGGTGGTTCAAACTCACCAGCCACTCCTCAGAAACCCTATAAAAGGCTGTTGTGTGTTAGAACTGACTCTATGACACTTAACAAGTACCAGGCACTCTTGTTAAATTCACAATGAAGTTTGATTTAATCTGAACAAGAACATTATGAGATTCACTTTACATACGAAGAGACACAGATTAAATAACTCTCCTAGATCCCCACTGAGGAAGGATGAGTTTTATTCAGAATTTTCAAAGTCCTCAAAGAGCTTCCTATATATTTTGAGCTACTGGGAATACCAACAAAGTCATTATAAGTATTCTCTTCACTGTGCATCTTTCTAGTCGGCAGGATGCCTCAGGTTGATGCTTGACTAGGGCCCTGGAGGTTTGCAGTTGTCAGGGAGGCAGGGCAGTGGGATGTAGCCCTTGAGTTTACCAGAGATGAGCTAGGGTGACATTTCAATATGACAGGAAGGAGAGTAATCACAGCAACAGGAAATTAACGCAGAAAACCACTAGAGAATCAGAAGAAGGAAAGAGGATAACAAGGAAATGATGCCTTGGAAAGCACCAAGTTCTAAATTATAGAATTTATTTATTTAACAAACTCTTTTATAGTACTTACTCTGTGCCAGGCTTTGGAAATAGTACCTTGCTGAATTTTCCTAATAACCCTATGAAGCAGACACATATCCCCATTTTACAAATGAGAAACCTTAGGTGCTGAATAATTTGCACAATGTCACAGTGACAGTATTAGGTGACTAGGCTTCAAACCTAGCATCCTGACTTGAGTTCATACATACTACCCTACACTATTATGCTGCCTCTTTTCATTTAGAAAGTTTCTGTGTATTGCCTGTATCTGTGTTTAAAATTCAGCTCTGACACATACTTACTAGATGCTCCTTGATAATGCTGTGCCTTGGTTTCCTCATCTCTGCAATAAACTCATGGTGTGGTGCTGTGGGTTAATGCGCCAAACTGCAACGTTGTTTGAACTGCAAGGTTGGCGGTTCAAGCTCACCAGCTGCTCCTCGGAAACCCTATACAGGGTCGCTATGGGTCAGAATTGACTTGATGGCACTTAACAACAACAAATTTATAAGATTATGATCTAGGTTAAATGAATCACAATATATAAAACATCTAGTAAGGAAGTATTCAGTATGTATCAGTAGTTTTTTTCTCCTCCTTCCTTCTCTGTTACCTTTCTTTTATTTTTTTGTCTGTCTTGCCAGCTGCTAGACTAAACACTCCCTGCTTTTTCCTTTTCTTATCTGCCCACACCTCTATTCCCCACATGTTATTGCTTGAGCTCTATCAACTTGCTAATGATAGCACATCATGATTTTAATTCTTTACATATAATTGAAAATTGTTCCATGAGAAATTTTTAAGGAAATAATTTCTTTTCTGTGATGTTAATTACTGAATAGATATGAGTGGATGTCTTTGTTTTTCTGGCTATAGAATGTGTCTTTCTAAATTCTAAATCTAAAACTTTTCCCTGTTCACTTTTTCTCTGACTCTTTGTAAACATTCTTCTACTTTATAGTTAATTGAAAAATTGAAATTAATTTTGTTGGAAACCCCACTGTATGATTTGGAGGATAAAAATATAAAACAGTATGAAGGATCGATTCAAGATCTAAAGGAGCTTCTTCATTTTAAATTTAATGTAGCCACGGAAATACTTCTTAGAGTAAGTGTGATATTTTACTTATATGTTTTTACAAGTTTTATAAGAGTTAAAATTTGATGCACATAATAAAATAGTCTGGAAAAAGTGAAAAAGCAGTTAATAGACATCTATGATAGATTTTTTGTAAAGAATTAAAGTTTTGTAAAAGTTAACATAAGAATATAAGGAACATATGTTTATACAGATTTAATTACTGCCAATATTTTATTTTTTAAATAAGACATTATAGATTCAGCTGAAGTCTAGTTTATCCTTATATTTACCAAGGTTTACTAAAGTCATTATGAAAATAACTTTACAAACTATCATATATCAGATAATCATAATATATAAACCAGTTAACTCAAGTTTATAATCATGAGTAAAATCAAACCAAACCCTCTGCTGTTGAGTGGGAGCTGAATATATTTTTCTCAAGCTTTTCACCTGGAAATATTGTAATCAAACAAAGAAAACTTGAAAGAATAATGCCATGAACCCAGTATGTCTTCTACCTAAATTCAGTAATTTAAAATTATTTTATTCTATTTGCTTTATCTCTCTGTATATTACCCCAGTAAGCCTTGGTGGCATTGTGGGTTAAGAGTTGGGCTGCTAAGCTCAAGGTTGGCTGTTTAAACCCACCAGCCATGTCGTGGGAGAAAGATGAGACTGTCTGTTCCCATGAAGAATTAGTCTTGGAAACTCTATGTAGCAGTTCTACTTGGTCCTGATAAGGTCATTGTGAATTAGAATTGACTCCAGGGCAGTTGATTCATGGGTCTCAGTTGAAAGTTGTAGGCATTTTAATAATTCTTCCCCAAGTATCTCAGCACTTATGATAATTTCCAAGTAACTACAAAAACATGATTGTGCCTAAGAAAATTAATAATATATTCTTTGATATATCCTCTCCATACTTAGATTGTCCCTGCTTTTTATGAATATCTTTTGTAGCTGTTTTTATTTTGTTTCAGGTTGTTTTTAATGTCAGAAACCAGACTAAGTTCGAACATTGCTTTTGGCTGTTTTGTCTCGGTTTCTTTTGGTCAAGAACACCCCTCTTTGTAGCTTTGGTAGACTATGTTCTAGTGACAAAAAGAACTAACAAAAAGTCTTAAACTTCACTACATAAGTTTACTGTTAGCAGTAAGATTGCTGCTTTAGTTTTGTAACTATTGTATGTATAATGAAAAGGCAAGGGAATATATTATGATTATTAGTAATCAAGATTTTCATTATAAGGGAAAATGTACAATAAAAGATTAGGAAACCTCATGAAATGTTTAATTTGAAATGGAAATACTAGTTTGAGACACATTTCTGCCTATTTCATAAAAAGAAACCATGCAAATAAATGTTCAAAAATTAACAGGATCTTATACAAAGGGATAAAGACTAGTTTGAAGAGGCTCCCACTAACCAAAGTTGGAATAATTTAACTATCAACAAAATAATGATGGCAGTTGGTTATAACACACTGAATAAATTCAAACCCATGACTCTATACTGATACTCATGGGAAAGAGACAATAGAATTGGGAGAAGAACAACTCTTCTACAAAAGAGTGCCATCTAATGTAAAAAGAATGATTCAATTAGAAAACTCAACATTTTGTAATCGTTAGCATAATTGACTAAGATAAAGATCCTTTTTGTGTCATTAGATGCTGAGTTGGTTCCAACTCATAGTGACCATATGCATAACAGAACAAAACACTGCCCAGTAGGTCCTGCACCACTCTCAGAATTATTGCTGCATTTGAATCCGTTGTTGCTACCACTGTGTCAATGTATCTCCTTGGGGAGGTCTTTCTCTTTTTTGTGGACCCTCCATTTTATGAAGCTTGATATCCTTCTCCAGAGATTGATCCCTCCTGATAATATGCCCTAAAGTATTCCCTAGCTGTACTTTTTCCAAGACAGATTTGTTTGTTCTTCTGGCATTCCGTCATACTTTAAATATTCTTCTCCAGTACATTAACTCAAATGCATCAGATCTTCTATGGTCTTCCTTATTCACTGTCCAACTTTCACATGTATACGAGGCTACTGAAACTAGCATGGCATGGGTCAGGCGCACCTTAGCCCTCAAACTGATACCTTTGCACATGAACATTTTAAAGAGTTCTTTTGATTGTGGATGAAAAATGAAGTCTTTGACAACTTTAATAATTTCTCCACTTATCATGATGTTATTTATTGGTCCATTTGTGAGGATTTTTGTTTCTTTACATTGAGGAGCTCTACGGCTCTGTATGTATGTAAGAGTCCCGGTGTGGCGCTGTAGGATAATGCATTGGACTGCAAAGTCGGTTTGAACTGCAAGGTTGGCAGTTCAAGCTCCTTAGTCTCTGCTCGGAAACCCCATACGAGATCGCTATGGGTCAGGTCCGACTTGATGGCACTTAAATGCAACAAATGGCTATATAAATGCATAGGTGAAAAGTTGTTGAGGAATGCATTCTTCTTTTCTAACCTTTTATTATCAATTGGGTGAAAGTTACAGAATAAATCATCAGTTTTCCATTCAATAATTGATACATATTTTATTTTATCTCACTGCCTGTGTTCTCCACAATGTTATTGTTTTCCTTGCTGACCTGTGTATGTTGTTGTTGTTATGTGCCGTGGAGTCAGTTCCAACTCCTAGTGAGGACCCTGTACAGGATTTCAGAGGCTGTAAATCTTTACGGGAGCAGAAAGCCTCATCTTTCTTCTGTGGAACAGTTGTTAGTTTTGAACTGCTGACATTGTGGTTCACAGCCCGATTTGTAACCATTACACTACCAGACCTGTGTATAGTTTGACTGAAAATTGAGCCATGTGGCTGAGTTCATTTCCAGACCTCAAGGCTGACTAGCAGCCATAATCTCTGGGTCCCACCAGTCTATCCAACCAGTAACCTGGTCTTTGTTATGAGCTGGTGTACTGTTTCATATTTTTATCCTATTCTACCCAGGACCTTCTAATGTGATCCCTTTCAGAGCAGTTGGTAGGCAACACATTATTCTTATAACACCAAAAGATTAAGGTTGCTTACTGATTGGGGAAAAAAAGTGTACTATACAAAGGCCTTTTTAAAGTGTTGAAGAGCAAAGATGTCAGTTTGAGGACTAAGGTATGCCTGATCCAATCCATGGTATTTTCAGTAACCTCATATACATGTGAAAGCTGGACAGTGAATAAAGAAGATTGTAGAAGAATTGATGCTTTTGAGTTACGGTGTTGGAGGAAAATATTGAAAGTGCCATGGGCTGCCAAAAGAACCAATAGATCCATTTTGGAAGAAGTGCAGCCAGAGTGCTCCTTGGAGGCCAAGATGGACAAACTTCGTCTCTCATATGTTGGACATATTGTCAGGAGAGATCAGTCGCTGAAGAAGGATATCATGTTTAGTAAGGTGTAGGGTCACAGAAAAAGAGGAAGACCCCCAACGAGATGGATTGGCCAAGTGGCAGCATCGATGGACTCAAGCGTGGCAACAGTAGTGAGGTTGGCCTAGGATCGAGCAATGTTTTGTTCTGCTGTGCACAAGGTCTCTCTGAGTTGGTACCAACTTGATGGCACCTAACAACAACAACAACAACAGCATACAATGGGTAGATGTAGTGGTCACTACCTTAATTAGTGGTCAGTCTGCATCAATAGTGAGGAACCTTCTGATGGGTTTCAATGCAAAAAACATAACTAACGTGTTATACCTACTTGTCAAAAATGTTTGATTTGAAAATAATAAAACTCCTAGACTTAACTTCAAGTTTACCACAAATTAAAGGAGATATGTTGCTATTGTTTAGTGCCATTGAATTGGTTTCTAGTCATAGATATCCTGTATAAAGCTTTCAAGGAGTGACTAGTAGGTTTGAACTGCTGACGTCATGGTTAGCAGTCCTGTGTTTATCCTACAGTGCCACACCAGGACTCTGAAGGTGATATGTTGTTGTTGTTGTTGTTGTTAAGTGTCATCAAGTTGGTTCCAACTCATAGCGGCCCTATGTAGGGTTTCCAAGGGGAATAGCTGGTAGATTTGAACTACCAACCTTACAGTTTGTAGTCCAGTGCCACACCAGGAGCCCAAAGGAGAGACAGGAATTAAACAATGCTATTAGGAAACAAACAGATAAATCTGTAAGATAGAATCATTCTACATTCTACAAGACAACTATCTTGGTCACTTCACAGAGTTAATACAGATTTCATGAAGTGTGGATGGAGCAATCACTGTTTGTTTGTTTGTTTTAATAAGCCTTAAATAACATCCCAATACTTTAAAGTTTTTATACTACAGCAAACACATATTGACTTATTTACACCCTTTAGGAGAGCTGATTTATTGAGTATTAGGCATCAAGCTATATTGTTGTTATTGTTAAGTGCCGTTGAGTCAGTTCTGACTCATAGTGACCCTGTATAGGGTTTATGAGGAGTGGCTGGTGAGCTTGAACTACTGACCTGTGGTTCAAACTGACCCTGTGGTCCAGCACAGTAACCTGCAGTGCCACAAGCTCTTATTAGTCTTTAAAAAAAGAATTCTAAAGAGTTTCCTTAAATTGTATACTGAATGTCAGATATCAAGTAGTAGACTCTCAATATCTGCTGTATCTTGATTTCATACGCTAGATATTTTGCCCTGTAAACTTGTGTGGTGCTGTGGGTTATTGCACTGTACTGCAAGGTTGGTTTGAACTGCAAGGTCAGTGGTTAAAGCTCACCAGCCACTCCTCAGAAACCCTATACAGGGTTGTTATGGGTTGGAACTGATTTGACAGTACTCAACAACAAAAAAATTTTATATGGATACCTGGTGTGGTATTGTAGGATCAACACTGGACTGTGAGCCAAAAGTTGGCAGTTCAAGTCCACCAACCACTCCTCAGAAACCCTGCACAGGGTCACTATGAGTAGAAATTGACTTGATGGCATTTAACAAAAACAGATATATTCAATAATGTTGTCAACTGCTATCGAGTAGATTCCGACTCATAGCAACCCTATATAGGGTTTCCAATGAGTGGTTCGTGGGTTTGAACTGCCACCTTATGGTTCAAATAGATCTTGTGGTCCAATGCGTATCCTGTAGTGCCACACCAGGACTCCATATTTAATAGTAGGCTAACTTTTACAGTAGTAAAGTGTATTTTAGTATAGTACAGATATGAAGCTTGGGTACATTTTAAATGAAAAATTAGGATTTTGATGTTAAATTTCTTTAAAAGGGAATAGAATAGTAATCAACAGTGGTAACAGAAAACAGCAGCTTTAATCCATAGATGCTTTGTTGTTGTTGTTAAGTGCCTCCAATGTGGTTCCAACTCATAATCACCCTATATAGGGTTTCCGAGGAGCAACTGGTAATCTTGGACTGGCAACCTTGCGGTTCAAACCAGTTTGCAGCCCAGCGTATCAACCCCCAGTACCACGCTAGGACTCCACTGTAGGAGAAAAGGAAGGACTCTTGGTATGCCATTGTAAGACCAGCATTAGACTTGGAACCACAAGGCCAGCAGTTCAAACACACCAGCTGCTCCTTGGAAACCCTATACAGGGTTGTGATGAGTTGGAACCTACTCAAAGACAGTAAACAACAACAAGTAGAAAAAAGAAAGGCTATTTTAATGGGTTTGTATCCTTTAGAGAACTTAAAAACAATTCTTTGTCATTCAGGGATTTGGAACTGTTCATTCCAGTTTGATCCCTATGCTGAGAATTTGCCTTTCTACCCCAGATATCCTGAGTCAGAATCTATATTTTGGCAAGGTGAACCTGTTCATCTAGATTTGACCCCCATGTTGAGAATTTGCACAGGATAGAAATTCAAATTCTCAGCAGAGAACTGAAGGCCTGTTTTGACTGAATCTTATTTTTACCCAAGACATTTTTTTTTTTTAGGTAATAAAAGGAATCTAACACATAAGTGATGAAATAACTTCTCTAAACTGCATTATTTATGAGACATCTAATCCTTTGTCATTGTTTCTTCATCTCTTACAGCAAGCTAGTACTTGGGCAGATCTGGACAGTGGAAATATGGAGAAAATTATTCATGATGAAAATGTTACTCTATATGTGTGGGCAAACCTCAAGAAAAATCCAAGGTATCCCTATGGTTGATACTTTCCCTGCAAGTCAAAAGCCATTAGAGAGATGATTGCCAGGCAAGAAGCCTTGTTGCATAACAGCATGGTGTACTTTGAAAAGCCCATGTTAGGAAGTCAGCTGATTTGGTTTGAATCTAAGACCTGTAGTTTATCTTGGGCAACTTTTTTCTAACTGTGTTGAGCTTCATCCAGGTTTATCATTAAAATGATGATGATTATGTAAGTTAATAGGATTGTGAATTAAACAATAATGTATATAAAGGTCATAGCTTGGTGCTTAGCACTAGTCTATATTCAGTAAATACTAGGTCTCTTCCTATGTGCCCTGGCTTCACCTAAAAACAAAGCAAAACCAAGAAGAAGAGACAGGTGCATTTGCATGGCAAGTCTGGAGCTTAAAAACATACACACATATTTATCTTTGTTAACTGTTAGAATGCATTTTCATTTTTATTATATTTAAGATATTAAAGTGATGTTTCCCCAGTTTTCTACAAACAATATGTTTCTGAGGAATGATAGTTGTTTTTACATGCCATCCAATTGATTCCAACTCACAGTGACTCTGTATAGGGTTTCTATGGCTTTAAATCTTTGTGGAAGCAGAAAGCCATATCTTTTCCCTGTGGAGTGGCAGGTGGGCCTAAACCACCAACCCTGTGATTAGAAGTCCAATGCGTATTATATGGAGCTATCACACTCCAACATAGTAATAATGACAAATTCATGATCTTTTTTGCTACTTAATCTTAAACATTTCAAATTAATTGAGTTAGTATGGCAAACAGTTTTAAGGAAAATATTACCAGAATAGAAATTAGGAGGTCAAGGTTATGATCCCAGCTCTGAAAAGACTAGTTATATGCATGACATAGGAGAAATTGTCCTTTACTTTCCATATTTAACAAAGGGAAGGAACAAAATAATTTCTGAGTTCCATTTGCTACAAAATACTCTGTGGTTTTGATTCTAATCAAAGAAAATGTATTAACTTTATCCATTATAAAATTATCACATATAGGAAAGTGAAGCAAATTAATCTGTATACTTTTAAAAGAATAAAAATTATATAAGGCCGGTATTAACCACCTATGTTCAAGAAGATAAGTAGTTGGTATCTTTTACTAAGATAAGGAATAGAGAAGGAAGAACAAGTTTTGCTTTATCTTGATGGATATGTTGATGGAAATTGTAAGATGATGAGTTAAAGTGTTGGACTTGTTGAGTTTGAAGAACCAGTCCTTGTGTGGCTGTGAGAAATGCAAGAGAAAAGTGTGGGGTCATGGATCCTAGAGAATGTTTTGAGAAAGAAGGCATTGGCATTGGCATTGGCAAGGGGGGTCCAACAATTGCTGCAAAACAAAATGAAACAAAGTTGTGACTCAAAACAGGAATGATACTAAAGTAGAAAGAAATACTGATTAGGTACATATGTGTATTTACAACTGATCTAGAGTTTCCTAGGGCCTCATCTTTTGTATTAAAATTAATAACAGGTACAGAAGTATCAGATTCTCTGAAACCAAGATTGGATTTGAAATTCCAAGGATGCTAGCAACATGTGACATTGCTCTAAGACTCCTACATACTCACTATGATCATGTTACTCCACTGCGCTCTGTTCTAAGACCATTGAAAGTAGAACAACTTACTTCCACAATAATGGATGCTGTCGAAGATCAAGTTAAGGATGTTGCAGACGAAGCATCCAGCAATGAGGACCAAGAGGAGCCTAAACAACCAGAAAGTGGGTGCACCACAGTTAAAGAAGAAGTCAAACTTGAGGAAGAAGGTGATGCTGAAGTACAAACGGTAGGCCATATTTAAATATACATACATGTATACGTTTTTTCCCCCTATATGTACTAAGTGTTATGAGATTCCCTGAAGCAACCTAAAGATTTTTCCTTAACAGCTACTAATTATCTGAATATCGCTTTCTTGGTAATGGCTCAATTTTTAATGTGCACCTTTGTTTTTCTTGCCTTCCTTAAACAGTCACCATTTGTAGTTGAACTTGATGCTTCAACAGCTGAAAACTTAGTACAGTTGTTGCTCATCTGTATATTTACTGTGCTCCTGAAAATCTGTGCAGCATTAATTTTTATATATTATGTTTCAACCTCATGGAAACAGGGATCTTGTCATTAAGTGGAACTTGCAGTAAAACGTTTCACAAACTGAAGGATTAGTTTACATTATTATGTCAGCTTTCTAGCTTATGGTTTTATAAGAATTTTGTAGAGAAGCTGATTTTTAAAAAAATATGGTTCTCTTAAAACTTGGCATCTTATCGGTAATCACATGTGATTTGAACAATGTAATAGTCCTACTTCCTTAGCTGGTTTCTGCTTCCAGAATTTTCAATCTGCTTACTTACTATTTTTAAATAAATTGTTCCTTGGCAATTTAGTAATGCTTCCTTAAAACTAAGGAAGCTTTTTTTGTTTTGTTTTTGACCATAGCCCCGTGTAACTTTAGGAAGTGATAGGAGTATCTGGTTGCTCTAAGAATTAGTTTATCTTTAAATGAAAGTGATGGTTAAAGATTAGTTAGATTGAATACAAATTTTAAAATCAGAATAGGAATGACTAGTTTTTTTTTTTTTTTAGAAGGAGCACTGTGGCACAGTGGTTAAAACATTTCCCTGCTAACCAAAAAACTCAGAACTTGCAGTTTAACCAGCTGCTTTGCAGGGGAATGATGTAGCAGTTGAGTCTGTCATATGGGTTCACAGCACGTCAGAATGGGCGAAGTTCTAGGATGTCACACACAGGATTGCTATAAATCAGAATTGAGTTAATGGTAATGGGTTTGATTTGGTTTGGGTTTATATATTCTAGAAACATATTTGATTGAAAACTTTCATTTTACACAAAATTATATACTATAGAAATATGGAAAATGAATGTCACACAATAGAAAGTGCAAAGAATAGCATTTAGATGATGATTGTAAACATGTAGAAATTTAAAAGCTATAACAGGAAGAGAGCCCAGAAACCTGTATATAGTTGATATTTTTGGGAAATGAATGATTTGTTCTTTGAAAATTTGTCATTGTTGTTAAAATGCTCTTTCAGCAATAAAGAGAGCTTTAAAAATAGTTTTATTTTCCCTCTCAGGTAGCATAGTATCATTGCTAGATAACGTTTCCTTTCCTGGACATATGGAGACTAGACCATGTGATTGGCTTTATTCAATAAGATGTGAGTAAAAGTGATGAAATGATGTCAAAGGAGAGAGAAAAAAGAATGAGTGCACAGGCCCTGGACTTATTTATAGGATGCAGTAAAATTGGCAGGATTTGTCATAGAAAATTCAAAGAACATATGAAAAGATATTACAATGATTGCAAATATGAAGATTGTCTAAAAATGTTTCATCTTGATATGATCAAAATATTAGATTTCTCCCCCATAAGTTCCTTGATCATAATTAATTTTCTATAATTAAATTTTACAGATACTCAATTAAATTTTAGACAAGAATTTTGTTTTATTAATGAGAAAATTGTGAAATGCTAACAGGAAGCATATCACTTGAAATAGTCCTTGAATTTACAAGGCTAAAGTAATTCTTTCTTATGAATACAAATATGTCTGAGTTCAAGTGGCCCCATGCAGTGCTGGTTTATTAAAGTTCTGTTAATTGTGGAAGTGGTATTATATTCAAAGCATAAGCAGATGAGTTCATTGTAGTGCTGAGCAGTACAGTTTATGTATTTTCCCTAAAGCCTGCCGTCTATTAGAAAATTGTATTTTTCATTATGAGATAGTGACCTAAAAAGTACCAGACTGTTTTTCTCAGTTTGAATAGCAAACTATTTAATCCAAACAGGTTTTTAATGTCATTTAATGTCAGGTTGAACAGTTTCAGCTTACAGCTATGACTTGTTAGGTGCCATCGAGTTGGTACTGACTCATAGCGACCTCATGCACAACAGAATGAAACTCTGCCCAATCCTGGGCCAACTTTACAATTGTTGCCACGCTTGAGCCTATTGATGCTGCTACTTTGCCAATGCATCTCACTGGGGGGTCTTCCTCTTTTTCTCTGACACTCCACTTTACCAAACATGATATCCTTCTTTAGCGACTGTTCCCTCCAGATAATATGTCCAAAGTAGGAGAGACAAAGTTTGGCCGTCCTGGCTTCCAAGGAGCACTCTGGCTGCACTTCTTCCAACATAGATCTATTGGTTCTTTTGGCAGTCTATGGCACTTTCAACATTCTCCAACACCATAACTCAAAAGCATCAATTCTCCTATGGTCTTCCTTATTTACTGTCTAGCTTTTGCATGCATATGAGGTTATTGAAAATACCATGGCTTGGGTCAGGCACACCTTACTTAGTCTTAAAGCTGACATCTTTGCTCTTCAACACTTTAAAAAGGTCTTGTGCAGCAGATTTGCCTAATGCAATACGTCGTTTGATTTCTTGACTGATGCTTCCATGAGAGTTGATAGTTGATCCAAGAAGAATGAAGTCCTTGACAACTTCAATCTTTTCTCCGTTGATAAGAATGTTGTTTATTGGTCCAGTGGTGAGGATTTTTGTTTTCTTTACATTGAGATGAAATCCATACTGAAGATTGTGCTCTTTGTTCTTCATCAGTAAATATTTTAAGTCCTCTTTGCATTCAGCAAGCAAGTTTGTATTATCTGCATATCGCAGGTTGTTAATGAGTCTTCCTCCAATCCTGATGCCATGTTTTTCTTCATATTAAAGGAATGTAAATGCTGATGTTGAGAATGCCATAAATGTACCTAGGGAACACATTCCACTAATGGAGTCCTGCTGTGGCACTATAGAATAAGCACTGGACCCACTGCAAGGTTGGTTTGAAGTGCAAGGTCAGTGGCTCAAACTCACCAGCCCTCCTTGGAAACCCTCTACAGTGTTGCTATGAGTTGGAACCAACTAGATGGCACTTAACAACAATAACAATGGTAACATGCATGTTTTATGGCATATTGAGACTGCCTTCAAAGAAACAGTTTAGAAAGCCTAAAGATCAGCAGGCAGTTAGTTATAGGACAGACATGATTTTTCTAAAAATAAATTAATCTTCTCCACAGCCTGGGAAGCTAAATCAAGAAGTGATGTATGGGAAACCTGGCAGGAGAAACTTTGTTATCAGGGAATTTAAAAGAGAAGTGTGGTTTCCTAAAAGGTGAGAAGCACATCAGTTCACCCATTTCCAGGAACAAATCCTCTCCACATTCCCAAACCATTCCTATACAAGAGAAAGTCAAAAAGCACTGTTAGTATGGTTACAGTTCATCCCTGCGTGGGTTTATTCCAAACAAAACATGTTTAAACATGATTCTGTGACCAGTGTGGGGGCTTCAGAGTTCTCTCAGTCATATACTTGTCCTAATCTCCTAAGGGTGCCTTCAAAAAAAAAAGATACTTTTTGTGCCATGGGGGGAAAAAGCAATTTTTGAGGTCAGGACTAATAACCAGTTTCTAACAATACAAGCTTTTAGCTGGATGGGTGTCAGAAGTGTTACACAAAGGTCAGCTAGCTCAAAGAACAGATCTTTCCATCAGTCTTACTTAAAATAAGATCAAAGCTAATGAAGATGGTTTTATGGAATGAATTGTAACCAGGGATGAGTCCTGGATTTATTAACACAATCCAGAGAGCAAGATCCCATCAAAAGTGGCTTTCAACGGCATCTGCTGGGCCAGTTAAATTCAAGACAGAGAAGTCAACTCAGAAAACTTACAGCAACTGCTTGTTGGTTTTCCAAAGGGAGTAATTGTGATAGATTTTCTTCAAGTATATGGGACACTCATGGGGTGGGGGGTGCTTATTAGGAAGAAGAAAATTGAAAACACATTGGTGAGGAAAAGGCCAGTAAAGTTGTGCTGAGGAAGTTTTTACTAATATAAAAGTGTACTTGATTCTTTCTTTTTGTTGTTGTTGAAGTGCATTTAAATCACTTCCAACTCATGGAAATCCTGGTTTAAAGCTGGTGGATTTGAACCATTGATCTTGTGGTTCAAACTGACCGTGTGGTCCAGTGATTCCCCTACAGCATCACACCAGAACTCCTTAGAGGGTAGCAAAGTCTGTCCTATCAGAATTTCATTGAGAAACCTTATCAACCCTGATCTTGTCTCCCTTCAGACATCTTTTTTTTTTCTGAAAGTTTTATTGTGAATTGATTGATAGTGTACATGGACAGGTTCCTTTTTGGTCCCCAAATTCAAAGGCTATTTCAGAAGAACAAGATTTGAATCCCTTGAGGATGCCTGAACTGCTGTTTCGATGTGGTGTGATTCAAAGAGTAGAGAATTCTTCTGGGAAGGCTTAGAGAGATGGAGTGTATAGACCTAGATACACTATGCAATATGCAAGCACTAGCTTCACATTTTGATATTTTTGTCTAACAAAGGTTTCCGTGATTTTGTAGTAAACTTTTTGATTTATCCTCATATGTATGTGTGCTTTATCATAATTCCAAAATCCTGAGACATTTTGAAAAATGGAATGTGAATAATGCTCAAGTATGTATGCTTTCCATAAAAGCAGAAGAATTCCATATTAATGGTTAAGTGCCTTTTAGCAAGGCAGGAAGGGAAAACCATTTGCTGTGCTAAAAGAGGACTGGGGATTATGGGAAGGTCCCAAATCAAAACTGTTTGCCAAGTTGTTGTTGTTGTTAAGTGCCGTTGAGTTGGTTCCGATCCATAGCGACCCTGTACAAGGTTTCCGAGGGTGTAAATCTTTACTGGAGTAGAAAGCCTCATCTTTCTCCCGCGGAGCAGCTGGTAGTTTCGAACTGCTGACCTTCAGGTTC